TCTCTCTCTCTCTCTTTCTCTCTCTCTCTCTCTCTCCCTCTCTCTCCAATAGTAAATCAAAATTTACGTAGTAAATTGCACATTTAATTACTACGTAAATTTAAATTCAAAGTCAAAATATTACATAAAATAAAAACATTAAAAAAGTGTAAAAAATGTGTTTATAATCTTAAAAATGTATATGTATTAACAATTACTTACTATATATACAGGTGTTGAACATTAGATCTTTTTTTTTTTTTTTTACTTTTATAGCTATACTGTGTTGCAACGAAATTGCTGATTGTACTGTTTAATATATTAAACACGTGAAACCGCACATCCGGACCTTTTTTTTGCTTCAAAAATTCAACCTAAAATAAGTTTACAGTTAAAAAATATACATAATGTAAAATTTCTCACAATTTTTGTACCAAATGCTAGTCTGAGTCTGAGCAACAATCAGTTAACTTCCTCCTCTATTGCACAAATTATTGTATTTTATATGTATATTATTTTACACACAATTAATCGATTGATAAGTATACTTAACTACAACTTATTCTAACATATACGTTGCTAAAACCCATTAGCGTTTTCTACTGAGAAAACTAGTGCAATACTGGCGCACACTGAATGCTATTTTGTTGTTCCAATGTGAAAAATTATTGATAAAATAGTGAAAATATGAACAAAAATCTGTCAAATTTTTATCAGTGGAACATTCAACACTGACAATATGTTTACTAATTTTTACATTAAAACAATAAAATTGCACTCAGTGTGCACCAGTGTTGCACTATGAATTTTTTTGATAAAAAAAGCGGTTATACATATAATAGCTTAAAGCCAGCTATATTTCTTTCCTGATAATTGTGTATATGTGTGTATTATATATGTATACTAAATTTTTATTATTTATTATTGTAATAAATTATACTTACAACTTCATCAAAAAACTTTTTTTTCTTTAAACTAGCGGCAAACTCTTCTAAATCATTGACGGTTTTTATAACAAATGTTTTGCGTAATGTGTCTTTAGTTTGATCACTCAACTGACAATTAGTTGTATCTTGAAAAATCTTTTTCTCGAGAATCGTAATTTTAGCCATTATAATTTGGTTCTGTTGCACAATTTTATTTTGCTTTGTCAGAATAAGCTTCAATGCAGCTGCAAAAAAATGACATAAAAGGTTCTTGATATGATATTATACATTGTACGTGTAAGTGTATGAGTGCATAAGTGCAAATGTGTTATTCGTTTAATATTATTCAAATTTTACTATTCTTAAAATAAAAAGTTATATAAAAACATGATTAGCCATTTAAGCATTATGTTAAATTTCGATTTGAAGCTAGCATGACAAATTAAAATTCAATTTAAAGTAGAATTATTTACGTTAAAAAAATCGTATTATAAAATATTTATATTATAAAAAAAGTTGACATAATATAGAAAATACTTACTTCCAAATTTATCTACATCAAATGGTCCTTCTTGTTGCGTATGAGATTGTGAATTGTCATTCCCATTTTTAGTGATTTCATTGTCAATCTCTGCAAAAAATGACATTCTGTATTGATTTTTCGACAGTTTTTAAATTGTTCTTCATCTTATTATAAAACCAGAAACAACATTCTTAAGCGATGCAAAATTCAGTATTTTATAAAATCAGTATAACAAATAAAAAATAACAGAAAATTTTACATAAATAAAGTTCTTGTATGTGTTTCATATGTTGATTAAAGTGAAAAATCCAAGGAATTATAGTTTCTTTTTTTTAAATGAGTAAACGTTATGTTTAATGTCTAACTCTAAAAGCACTTGTACGCAAGGAAATAATTGAAATAAGTCAAAATTATAAAAAATAAAAATATTTTAAGACAAAAATTTGGTTATATGTTTATTTTAAGAGAAAATGTGTTTAAAACAAAAAATTTTATACATTTATCACCTTTACATTCTCCAGATGATAATATTTGCTTTACTTGTAGATGTTCTAGTCTTAGAAGCAGTTTTACATTATTGTTCTCTTTATTAGCTAATTTGATGTTATTATCAACATTTTCAAAGTTGCTTTCGTTTTCTTCGAATTCCGATTCTGAATTAAAATTACAAAACTGTTCTAAGTTTATATTTTGTTCAGAATCGACTTTTTTGGTAGAGTCGTTCTTATGATACGTACTACACCGCGAATATGTTTTTAGGACTTTCTGAGGTGGATTGTAAGAATCATTGGCATTAACATCCATACACATATTCATTGATCGTTTTTTAAATGTATCACATATATTGGTAGAATTGTTCTTGTGTGACTGTGACTTACAAGGGAACCTCGCGAAATGGAAAATTCTGATTTTAATGAAACTTTCCACACATGTAAAAGGAGTAAAAAGATGAATTTAGATATTTTTTGTAGCGGCCCAAAAACGGTTTTAAGGGGTGAAACCACTGCTCATATGTAGAGCGGTTTTTTGCTTTTCTCGATATATTTCGAAAAGTATTCGAGATATAAAAAAATGTTTCAAATAAAAGTTTTATGGTAAAAACATCTCTATTCAACCACATTAATAAAAATTTGAAAAAAACATTTTTGTTTAAAAAATTATTTTTAAAAAATATTATATTAATGTTGTTGAATAGAGGAGATTTTACCATAAAACTTTTATTTGAAACATTTT